TTTATTGATAATCCACACATTTACATAATAAATTACATAAAATAAAATTTACGGATTGAGTAGGAAGCTTGTAAAGCTTTTTTGAAAACTCTCTCCGTAATCAGTATTTAACAAATTTGAAATAAATGGTAACAAAATATAAATATCTAAACTAAACTATACATATCATATTGACTTGTTCTTGCTTTCTTACTATACATACTATGTTTATGTCAAGTATTCATGAACTATATTTAAGATACATTGCTGTTAGATTAGAGGTATAAACACAAGTATGAATTCATTTTTATAGGGATATATTGCTTAGTTTAGTGATTGGTTAATTAAACTAATATGTTGAGAAATTTAATTATTAAAACATGCACATTGGAGGAGAAGTAATACTAGAAGAGAAGAAGAGATAAGGAACAAGACAAAGAAAGAAAGCCACTTTACTACTATGGAGTTGGAGGACCTTTTTCTTTTTAAACGAATATTATCATGTATCAAATCTTTTTGTTTTTTGTATATATTTATGTATATGTAATATAATTGTTTCGTTTTGAGCATCGGTAAGTGAATTATCGCCGTATAGTAAAGTATTCAATGTTACAGTTGTGATTTGACTTACATTGTTTATAAGGACAGTGCGGTCATCTTGATACATGGGGCAGCGGAGGAAATAGTGTTCTGTATTTTCTATTTCACCACATATACAAAAAGGGCTGTCTATTATGTTTTTTTGAAAAAAAACAGATGTTCTTTCAGAGAGCTGCAATGTGTTCTTAATCGTGTATGTATTATTTGATAACTTCTTTCACCTATATAATAGTGAGCTGGAACTTTTTGGACATCTTCATTTAGTCTTTTTTTGAAAATTGCAAGCGATGGTGCATTTCTTATTTTGACAGGGATATCATTCCAGTCTTAAATCGAAGATGGTAAGAATGAATTTTAATAAAGTTGAGTTTGACAGAAAATATTTCTAGTGTTACTTGCATTTCGTAAGTTGTATACTGAAGTTTGTCCTACTGTGTTTGGAACTATGGAAGATAGATATTGTGGAGATAGGCGATTGAACATTTTATAAAGCAGAATTAGTTTGTGTTTATAGTGTCTGAAAACAAGTGTCTTCATACAGATTTGAGAAAGAAACAAGTTTTGTTGTACCAGTTATAATTAAGTTTTTACTAGATACAAATAAGAAAAATCAATGACCCCCCGGGGCGGGGCTAATTTTGACCCCAGGGCATTTATTTGAACAAACTTGGTAGACACTGACTAGGTGATGTTTCATGCCAAACTAGGTGATGTTTCATGCCAAACATTTAAGCTCTAGCTCTTGCGGTTTTATAAAAGAAATTATTTTAAGTTTTAACTATATACAAAATCAATGACCCCCCCTAGCCGGCCTAATTTTAACCCCAGGGCATTTATTTGAACAAACTTGGTAGACACTGACTAGATGATGTTTCATGCCAAATATTTAAGCTCTAGCTCTTATGGTTTTCAGAAAGAAGTTATTTTAGGTTTTTACTTTATACAAATAAGGAAAATCAATGACCCCCCGAGGCGGGGTCAATTTTTACCCCAGGTCATTTATTTGAACAAACTTGGTAGACACTGAGTAGGTGATGTTTCATTCCAAATATTTAAGCTCTAGCTCTTGCGGTTTTATAAAAGAAGATATTTAAAGTTTTTTCTCTTGGTTGCCATGGCAACCAGAGTTCTGCTAGGAATTAAATTCTTCCAACAATTTTTAAAGTTGACTACCAAAGGAACATTCCTGTGAAGTTTGGATGAAATTGGCTAAGTGGTTTATAAGGAGATGTCGTTTAAAGTAAAAGTTTACGGACACCGGACGGACGCCGGACGAAAAGCGATCACAAAAGCTCACCATGTCACTTTGTGACAGCTGAGCTAAATAGCATTGACCAGAGTTAGGTATGATGAAATAGATAACAAGAGCAACCACCGGGCGACGGCAACGCTCGACTTTTTACTTTTTCTAAAAGCAAACATAGAAAGGTTTGAACATATCTTAACGTTTCCTTTTTATAAATTTAGTTGGTCTGTCTTGTCACATTAGTTTTGGTTATCTATTTTGTATATATATATATGAATAGAAACACGAAATTCTATCAATAGAAACACGCAATTCTATAAATAGAAACATGCAATTCTATCAATAGAAACATGCAATTCTATGAATAGAAACACGCAATTCTATAAATAGAAACACGCAATTCTATAAATAGTAACACGCAATTCTATTAATAGAAACACGCAATTCTATAAATACTAACACGCAATTCTATAAATAGAAACACGCAATGCTGTAAATAGAAACACGCAATTCTATAAATAGAAACACGCAATTCTTTAAATAGTAACACGCAATTCTATAAATAGTAACACGCAATTCTATAAATAGTAATATGCAATTCTATAAATAGAAACATGCAATTCTATAAATAGAACCACGCAATTCTATAAATAGAAACACGCAATTCTATAAATAGTAACACGCAATTCTATAAATAGCAACACGCAAGAGTTTTAACAAACTAAATGACCATCAGAGTGTTAACAACTTAATGTCATCATCGGATATAAATGGTTGATTAACATTTAACATGACATAACTGATAAATGTAAATGGTTCGGCCGTGGGTATCCAACGATGCTACATGTGGACAGACCACAGTTGACATAAGATGGATGACCGACATTCAACAATCTAAAAGCTCTTCCTGAGCCAACCTATAAGTTTCACCACTGAAATAAATAATAAGATAATAAAAATGAATACTGCGTAATGATTTAGATGATGTGTAGCCATTATATCAGAAATAAATTATTGCTTTTCTATATATGTTCTTTACTCTATTGAAACTACGCAAGTTCATATAGCATATAAATATAAAACGACTGCTAGATTATTTTTTACTATAAACAAATAAAAAGGAAAAGTTAATTATTTAAACGATTGAAAAGTCTAATTTTATGGGTAATTTTATTCATATACCTTTCTTATCGCGCGTCCAATGTGGTTTTTGACTTTCCCATGTTTTTAACGCTAGCTGACTGTTACATAGCCGAAAAAACACTAGTTTTTCATACTGTATTTTATACAAAAAATAACTGACATTTTATAAAGGTAATGAAATTTATGTAATAGTTATTCATTTAAACGGTTGAAAAATGTATTTAGCAGCACTTATTTTAAATATATCTATTTTATCGCAAGTAAAATGTGTTTGGTTTTTTTTGGCTTTTCTACGTTTTTGACGCTAGGCAGTAACACAGCGGAAAAACACTTTCATACAATGTTTATTACAAACATATCACTGATATTTTACATTGCTGACAAATATAATGTTATAATCATTCATTTAGACGGTCGGAAAATTTATTTAATAGTTCTTATTTTAAAAATGTCCATTTCATAGCCAGTAAAATGAGTTTTTTGGCTTTTCCATGTTTTTGACACTAGACCGTTACGTAGCCGAAAAACACTTTCATACCGTATTTATAAAAATAAAAATTGCAGCTCTTGTTTTAATTATGACTATTTTATCGCCCGTAAAAATGTGTTTTTCGGCTTTCCATGTTTATGACGCTAGACTGTTATGTTGCCGAAAAACACTTTCATATCACATTAAATATGGAATAGAATCATTCTCTAATTTACACTGGTTGCAGAAAGAAAGTAAATTTTAATCATTTAAAGGCCTGTTGCATGTGTTTTTCGGCTTTTCTATGTGCAACGCAGGCTCAGCAAATACTTTTATCAGCGTATTTTATGATATATTATCGATTTAAAACTGATATTATTTAACCCATTTCATCAAATAACCATCAAAAAGTGTTTATATTGCTTAATTTAATCACAGCCTTAATATTTCTTTGTATTTTAAGTGTTTTTCGGTATTTTTTGGTGTTTTTTGGTTTTTTGGTGTTTTTTGGCAATTCCATGCACCAATTAATATAAGCAGATTAAAATAATTCCTATTTTCTGAACATAGATTTAAGGTATTTATTTCTTGATGCTTACACTGATTTACAGTTAAAATTCAAATGATTATTTCTTATTGTCGAATCTGGCCACATATGCCTATATTTAGCTCCATGCTCTGGCTTAATCGTCAATCGACAAATTGTTATGGGTCGAATGGTTGAGTGGCCGAATCTTTATTTTTACCCATACTGAATCAGGCAATCTACGCTGAATTTCGAAACATATTTCTTTTCAAAAATCGAAGGCATACAAAAGTGAAAGGAAATCATGTGTAAAAAAGGTATTCAAAAGATTAGCTTACGAAATTTCTATTTTTAGAAGCCATGATAATTGCCAGGTTTTTAAAATTAAAAAAACTTCCGGTATACGCTGGTATATTTTGTTACAGAGCTCCATACTCATTTTGTAAAACATTTTAGGCCGATTTTATTGCATAAATGTAAATCAGGAATTTTATTTGATTAAATATCTATCTGAAATGTTTCGTCCCATTTATATAATTCTGACTTACGATGTATTCATTCATACTAGCAAGCGCATGAAAATGAACGATTTGGAACTTTCAAAGCATTAAAACAACTTTGCAAACAGTATTTTAATGATGTGTAGTCGGAATGTAACGCAACTGCAGAATGAAGAACTAGTTTCTATAGCGGCTTTTATGGTGGATGGTGTTCGGAAACGACTAAACCTGTAACGATTGCGGAGATATAGCTTATAACTCTGTATACATATTGCAAGCAATGTATACAAAAATCACTGACAAGAGTTAGGTATGATGAAATAGATAAAAAAACATTGACCAGAGTTAGGTATGATGAAATAGATAAAAAAAAAAACATTGACCAGAGTAAGATATGATGAAATAGATAAAAATCACTGACCAGTGTTAGGTATGATGAAATAGATAAAAAACATTGACCAGAGTTAGATATGATGAAATAGATAAAAAAAACATTGACCAAAGTTAGGTATGATGAAATAGATAGAAATCACTGACCTGAGTTAGAAATGCTTCAATGGCTCTCATTCCTAGTAACAACATCTCGTTATTCTTATGGTGACTCCAGTATGACATCTTGTTGTAGATGTTCTAAAATATATACATACATGTATGAGAGAACATTCAGACCAAATATTACTTTATACAGTAGAAACCCTACTTAAGACCACGCCGGAATTAAGACCACCCCGCTATTAAGACCACTTTTTAAAAGAACGGAATTTTCTGTTCTTTATGTCAATGTTTACATGATTCAGAATTAAGACCACCTCACTTATCCACTTTTAAGACCACCAAATTCAGTCCAATTCTTTGTTATTTTCTTTATTTGACCTCACTATTGAGACCACTGATATTAAAATCAACACCTTCCTAGATCTTCAATTTGTTGTTATGTTTTTATTATATGCTTGATTGCTCTTAGGCATGACACTTGATTACACAAGGTGTCAAAAACTGTTATTTAAGGGATATTAAATGAAATAAGGTCAGAAAGTATATTGTAGAGTGGTTTAATGTTGATTTTATCACATTTATTTTGTGAAGGAATAATGTCATATATGATATGTGAATAATATACATCATATAATAATTAATATTGAAATCAGAACAACGAGAATTTAATATTTAATTTCTTCAGAAATATGTTTTCTTCCCATTAGATGTAACATTATAACATACTTTTATATTGTATTTGCAGATTAGGATACATATTGTTTGTTCATACAAAATGACTAAAATAGACCATGGTCATAAAGTATGTTAGCAATGATAAGAATTTCCACAATTAAGACCACCCCGCAATTAAGACCACTTTTGTCCAGTCCCGACCGTGGTCTTAATTGAGGGTTTTTACTGTACATGTATTAAATCTAAACTAGAACTGCCACTATCTTGGCGTGAATACCCCCGCATACCACTTTGTCAGAATCAACAGTGGCCATTTAGGCTCAAGGACAACCTCCCTGCCAAATCTGAGGTAACTAAGCCAGTGCATTGCTAAGTTATGTATTCTACAAGCTTCAAATGTGAAAATGTCAAAATCAATACATTGCGGACAGGACATTCTTTAGCAATTGAGAAGAAAAGCTTTTTTTGTCAAGGTCCCTGTGACCTTGACCTTTGACCCAGTGACCTCAAAGTCAATAGGGGTCACCTTATAGTGATGATCAACATTCATGCCAAATATGAAGACTGTGGGTCAAAGGAATCTTAAGTAAATAGGTGGACAAACTTTTTGAAGTCAAAGTCCCTATGACCTTGACCTTTGATCCAGTGACCTCAAAATCACAAGGGGTCATCTACTAATCATGATCAACATCCATGCCAAATATGAAGACTGTGGGTCAAAGGAATCTAAAGTTATTGGGCAGACAAACTTTTTGAAGTCAAAGTCCCTGTGACCTTGACCTTTGACCTGGTGACCACAAAATCAATAGGGGTCATCTACTAATCATGACTAACCTCCATGCCAAACATGAAGACTGTGGGTCAAAGGAATCTTAAGTTATAGGGCGGACAAGCTTTTAGAAGTCAAGGCCCCTGTGACCTTGACCTTTGACCTGGTGACCTCAAAATCATTAGGGGTCATCTACTAATCATGACTAACCTCCATGCCAAATATGAAGACTGTGGGTCAAAGGAATCTTAAGTTATTTGGCGGACAAGCTTTTTGAAGTCAAGGCCCCTGTGACCTTTGACCTGGTGACCTCAAAGTCAATAGGGGTCATCTACTAATCATGACTAACCTCCATGCCAAATATGAAGACTATGGGTCAAAGGAATCTTCAGTTATTGGGCAGACAAACTTTTTGAAGTCAAGGCCCCTGTGACCTTGACCTTTGACCTGATGACCTCAAAATTAATAGGGGTCATCTACAAATCATGACTAACCTCCATGCCAAATATGACGACTGTAGGTCAAAGGAATCTTAAGTTATTGGGCGGACAAGCTTTTTGAAGTCAAGGCCCCTGTGACCTTGACCTTTGACCTGGTGACCTCAAAATCAATAGGGGTCATATACTAATAATGACTAACCTCCATGCCAAATATGACGACTGTAGGTCAAAGGAATCTTAAGTTATTGGGCGGACAAGCTTTTTGAAGTCAAGGCCCCTGTGACCTTGACCTTTGACCTAGTGACCTCAAAATCAATAGGGGTCATCTACTAATCATGACTAACCTCCATGCCAAATATGAAGACTAAGGGTCAAAGATATCTTAAGTTATTGGGCGGACAAGAAAAAACCGACGGACGGCCGGACAGCCGGACGGCCGGACGGACAAGCTGATTCCAGTATACCCCCCTTACAACTTTGTTGTGCGGGGGTATAATAACAGAAATTTTAGAATCACAAGAAAAATGTAATTACATACTGATTTTGATTTTTTTTAGAAATAAAATAATATGAAAAATAAACTACAGCATAACTTAAATCAATATCTTTTTTTAAAATGTATTGTAAAATTTATAGGCAACCTAAGTGAGTTCAATGATGTTCAGAGCAGCAATAAATACCCCGAAATAAAACAAGGACAGCATGCTTTACTGTTCTCAATGCCTGGCCTTGATAATGTATAATTGTTTTAGTATAGGGCAATAATTCTGTCAAACTCCATGTTAAAGTTATGAGCCTTGGATAGTGACCTCCTTTTTTGCTCTCAAATAAGTGTATGAAGTTTAAACCCATTCCCTTCAGTTGTTTTGGAGATACCAACTTGCATGCAAAAACTTAACCAAAGTGTGATGTTGATGTCCGGGCAAGTATCATAGTTTTCCCTATTCTTTGAATAGTCAAGCTAAAAAAGTGCTTAAACCAATGAATAAAATATGAAATAAAATTTTAATGTCTAACACATTATACCATATATATTTTCTTCATTAAACAATACATAAATATAATAGTCAAAACTACTTCAGCCGCTGCAAACTGTATAACATAACAGAAGAAACTAGATAAAATGCAAACAGTTAAACAAAATACTAATTCAGTTACTTCAAAATCTTCTATAAGGTATTGGTTAAACTGTGAAGCATGACGGGCAAACAGCTTGAGCCCAGCTCTTGGCATATCATATCTTGTTAACTCTATCTTTGGGTCTATAGCACTCCTAGTATACTTGAAAATCTCATATGAATTCTTTGATCCTGCAGTAAAAAATTAAACAAGAGGACCATGATGGCCCTGAAATTGCTCACCTGAATATACAAGAGGGCCATGATGGCCCTAGATCGCTCACCTGACTTATCAAACTCATCCAAACAATTACCTAGACATGTATTCTGACCAAGTCTCATGCCAGGTGAGTCAAAAATGTGACCACTACAGTGTTAACAAGGATAATCCATATTTGAGCAGTGCGACCTAGTTTTTTACCCAGGTGACACATATTCAAACTTGACCTAGAAATCATCAAAACAAACTTTCAGACCAATTTCCAGGATACTTGGATCAAAACAGTAGCAACTAGAGTGTTAACAAGATTTTTCTATTTTTAGCTCCAGTGACCTAGTTTCACATGCGATTTCAAACTCATCCAAGCAATTACCTAGACAAGCATCCTGACCAAGTTTGATGATAATTGAGTCGAAAATGTGACCACTAGAATGTTAACAAGGTTTTTCCATATTTGGGCGGTGTGACCTAGTTTTTCATCCAAGATGACCCATGTTCAATCTTGACTTAGAAATCATCAAAACAAACTTTCAGACCAATTAACAGAATATTTGGATCACAACAGTAGCCACTAGAGTTTTAACCAGATTTTTCTATTTTTAGCTCCTGTGACCTAGTTTTTCATCCGAGATGTCCCATGTTCGATTTATTCCCAGCAATTCCTGACCAAGTTTGATGACAACTGAGTCAAAATTGTGACCACTAGAGTGTTAACAAGGTTTTTCTATTTTTAGCTCCTGTGACCTAGTTTTTCATCCGAGATGACCCACGTTCGAACTCATCTGAGCTATCACCTAGACAAGCATCTTGATCAAGTTTGATGATGATTGATGCAAAAATGTGACCGCTAGAGTGTTAACAAGGTTTTTCTATTTTTAGCTCCGGTGACCTACTTTTTCATCCGAGATGACCCATGTTCAAACTCATCTGAGCTATCACCTAGACAAACATCTTGACCAAGTTTGATGATGACTGATGCAAAAATGTGACCACTAGAGTGTTAACAAGGTTTTTCTATTTTTAGCTCCGGTGACCTACTTTTTCATCCGAGATGACACATGTTCGAACTCATCCGAGCTATCACCTAGACAAGCATCTTGACCAAGTTTGATGATGATTGATGCAAAAATGTGACCGCTAGAGTGTTAACAAGGTTTTTCAATTTTTAGCTCCGGTGACCTACTTTTTCATCCGAGATGACCCATGTTCGAACTCATCCAAGCTATTAACTAGATAAGTATCCTGACCAAGTTTGATGATGATTGATGCAAAAATGTGACCGCTAGAGTGTTAACAAGGTATTTCTATTTATAGCTCCGGTGACCTAGTTTTTCATCCGAGATGACCCGTATTCAAACTTATCCGAGCTATTATCTAAACAAGCATTCTGACCAAGTTTGATGATGATTGGTTAAAAAATGTGACCACTAGAGTGTTCACAAGGTTTTACTATTTATAGCTCCTGTGACCTACTTTTAAATCCGAGATGACCCATGTTCGAACTCATCGGAGCTATCACCTAGACAAACATCCTGACCAAGTTTGATGATGATTGGGTCAAAAATGTGACCTCTAGAGTGTTCACAAGGTTTTTCTATTTTTAGCTCTTGTGACCTAGTTTTTCATCCGAGATGAGCCATGTTCGAACTCATCTGAGCTTTCAACTAGATAAGCATCCTGACCAAGTTTGATGATGATTGACGCAAAAATGCGACCGCTAGAGTGTTCACAAGCAATTGTGGAGGTACGACGTACGACGGACATTCACCGATCCTAAAAGCTCACCCTGAGCAAGCTCAGGTGAGCTAAAAAACACTTCATGAAAAGAACAAGATATATTGTATAAACAAAAGAAGATATAAGATCTAAATCTTAATCTGATATCACAAAGTTCATATTTGTATCTGAAATAGTGCATGTGTAAAAACATTAATGGTTGCTACTAAGATGCATGTATACATACATGTGTATTAGAAAAAAATCAATGACCCCTTGGTGAAAAGATCTTTCATGCCAAATATGTAAGCTCTTGCTCTTTGGGTTTTTTTGAAAGAAGATTTTTAAAGTTTTTTCTTTCGGTTGCCATGGCAAGCAGTTCTGCATGGAATTATATTCTTTCACCTTGTCACTTTGTGACAGGTGAGCTTTAAACAACCCACAACATGTTGAATCTATTTACTACATATAGTATAAATCATAGCAAAGAATATGTTAAGAACTGGTTGCAGACACATGGAGATAAATATACACAAAATATACATTTTATCAGACAATACATCTTTTTAAACCAAGAGATTGAACAAAAAAACAGCCACTTAAAGGATTCCACTGAGGTTTTAAACATGACAGGACTGGAAATATATGAACCGCGTCACAACAAAACCAACATAATGTGTTTGCGACCAGCATGGATCCAGACCAGCCTGCGCATCCACGCAGTCTGATCAGGATTCAAGCTGTTCGCTTACCAACTCTATTTCATGCGCAGGCTGGTCTGAATCCATGCTGGTCGCAAACCCATTATGTTGGTTTTGTCGTGACGCGGTTCATATCATTTAAAGATTTGTATAAGATTTGATGAAGATGTTGACCAATAACTTCTGTGCAAAATTTCAGATAATTTGCTCAGTCCGTTTTTTTTCCCAAATAATTATTTTAATTATGAAAAAAGAATGAAAAGTTGAAAAAGCATTTGAAACAATTTTAAATCAAATCTGGCAAAGAATCACACTAAATTTTTATTTTTTTTTAATTCTGAGTATATATTTTTGGGATATCTTTCTGATTTTAGAGCACAACAAATTTATGTTTTTACGGAGTTCAATTCTTTTAATATTGCTTTTTTAAAAGTACAGTTACTTCATATATAAAAATTTACATTTAGAGGGATCACAGTCAAGAAATAAACTATTACTATTACTATTGTAAATGTTTGACTAACCTTCCTCTGCAGATTCTGTAAAGTTGACCAGGCTACTGTTAAGACCCTCTAAACATCCAGATATGATAGACAACTCTGGTTTTCTAGTTTTACTGTTCATCTAAAAATTACATCTTACTTTACTAACGTAATGAATTCTATGTAATAGATATACCATTGCTGCGTTGACGATTTCTGGGTTTGCGTAAATTATACCATAATCACGTGACCTTTCTTATGCCTTGACCTCACGAGACGAAGTCGAGTGAGGTTGCATAAGAAAGGTCACGGGATTATGGTATAATTTACGCAAACCCAGAAATCGTCAACGCACCAATGGTGTATCTGTTTTAACCTATAGCTCTGCCCAGAAACACTTACTCCTTCGATCTTCAAAACTGAAAATTATACCATAGTCTGGGTATGGTATAATTTACGGTTATTGGAAATTATACTTGGAAGAATTTTACATAAGAAGCGCTGAAGAGCTATAGGTTATTATAGAAAAAGTATTTTAATAGTGAATTACTTAAAACTATGGAATGATCAAATCAAAAACAGGATAATGATGACTGAGCAAAGTGGGTCAGTTATATAATAAGTTTCTAAATAAACTTTTATTTTCCTAACAATGCCTCTGTGTTATGCATGTATGTGTACACATAAGTATTGAGATGCAAGGTATTTTAATCACAAAATTTTTTTCATTAAAATGTAGATTTACCTCAGTTTTAAGGGCACCTATATATACTCCTGTTAACCTTTCAGCATACTTTGTCATGTATTCTGGGTAAAACTCAGCTATCACACCCAGTAAAATGTAGATCTTCTCTTTAACTGAAACAAAAATCAAGATTTTTTCATCTCAAAGTTAAAGATTTTTTGTGAGCTAGTTTATCAGCGACAACTCAAATGTTCCTGAAAACTACACCAGTACTAGTCTTAACATAACAAAATATATCCAAACATGTTTTATTACTGTCAGACGAAAAAGAAACTGAAGGGTACAAAAAAGAATTTTCAGCATTACTTGCACTAATGACATGGCATCAAATTTTAATAATGAAAAAATATACAAAGTTTGAATTGATTTGATGATTTCTGAGAAAATGAGCCAAAATGAAAAGGTTGACCAACACTAACACCAACAAGTGGAGCTAAAAAAACAACTAAGTCTTACACAAAACAAGAGCTGTCAGTAGGACAGCAACGCTCGACTATTCTCAGTGCTTGATAGTAAAAAAAATGCTTGATACAGTTACCTCCTCCTGTTTACAGGTTGGGGTCATGATGGTGAACAAGTGTGCAAAGTTTCAAAGCCATATGTCAATGGACTTTGAAAATATTTGAACTATTACAAAAACTTTAACGTAAATTCTAAGTCGAAAAAGGGGCACAATTCTGTCAAAATGCTTGAAAGAGTTACCTCCTCCTGTCTACAGGTTGGGGTCATGATGGTGAACAAGTGTGCAAAGTTTCAAAGCCATATGTCAATGGACTTTGAAAATATTTGAACTATTACAAAAACTTTAACGTAAATTCTAAGTCGAAAAAGGGGCATAATTCTGTCAAAATGCTTGATAGAGTTACCTCCTCCTGTCTACAGGTTGGGGTCATGATGGTGAACAAGTGTGCAAAGTTTCAAAGCCATATATCAATGGACTTTGAAAATATTTGAACTATTACAAAAACTTTAACATAAGTGGTTACGCCGACGCAGACGCCGACGCTCGGGTGACTACACTAGCTCTACTTATTCTTATCGAATAGTCGAGCTAAAAATCACAAAAGTAATTTACCTGTTGGAGTAACTTTTGAAGCCTTTGTCAACTCATTGAAGAATTTATCAATAAGTTTTTCAATTTGTAAGTCTTTACCCAACATGGATCCAACTGTAAGCTCCAGTAACTAAAGAAACAAAATATTGAATCATTTTATCTTACAAAATAAGGCAAAGCAGGAATACATGTTAAAAGCATTTCTATAAAATATCAACACACTTCAAGCAAAAAATAAAATGTCAGTTTCTAATTTTGGGTTTAAGTTCAACATTATTCACAATTCAGAAAATAGATATTATAATATATATTTTAACAGAAGTGACAAGATATTAAGAATTAAAGACATAACCCAAAACATACATATCATTATCTATATATGCAGCTACACTTACCTTACTGAGTACTGGCATTGATGCATTCTTAACCTTTGCGTATCTGTCCCTGCTGAATAATGACACACAAACATCCTGAAATATTATCATATCTGGCTTATCTCTGAATACTAGTGCCTATAAAACCTTCCCTATACCACTTGTATACAGCCAGTTCTACCCACATATTCCTTCAGTCTGACTTGAATGCTATACTGTTTACTTCTCAGTTTCAGAACTTTTACACTCAGAATACCATTTAATAAATGGACTGATCAAAATCAGGACAGATTTATAGTTACTTATCAAAATTTACTACAGAAAAGGCGGAATATAACATACCATTAATTGTTGTTTATAATTTCTAAATGTCTTTTTTACATTACATTATCCCACAAAATAAGCCACGTTTAGCCACATGTATATTACCTTGATGTCTACAGCATAGGGCAGAATTCGTTTTCCAACTTTTTCCAGGAACTCAGCCAAAAACTCCAATATTCTAGCCTTACAAGCCTGAAGCTAATACAAAAAACTTCCATCATTTTATGTATCAGCTTTACATTCACTTCAATTAAGATAACAATTAAGATAAATATTCATGTTAATATTCATAAGAAGTATTCTAAAATCTTTATCACAAACTAAAAGACATGTATTGACAGAGAATTTAATCCAATTGCATTGCAGCAACATTTTGAGAATATGTAGTTATTTTATACGCTGCAGACAAAAAATGAGTTAAAATAAAAACTTAAGTTGATATAATTTATGTACAAACTAACCTAATATAACATAAAAATATAATACCTCATCATTTGTAACTGCTTTACTGAGGAACTTGACCAGTCCATAATCTTTGTCAAAAAGTGTTGAACAAGTTAAATCTGTAAACAGTTATAATCAGATTAAGTTAAACAAATAATTCAGTAATGGTTAATACTCATAAAAAGTTCTAATCAATAAATAAAATGTCAACCTTTTTAAAAAAATAAATATTCATCAAAACTTCATTTATTAAATGTGGACTTTAATACTAAGTAATTTTCATTGCAGCCTCATCCTTAAAAATTATAAAAAAATTGGCTAAAGAGACAGAATTTGTATCTTTAAAGTTACCTCAAAGCACTTAGCTAAACCTAAAACATTGTTTTCAGTATGGTTGCAACATAGTAACATAGTAAATGCAAGAAATTATCTGTAAACTAACATCATATGATAATTTTTTTATCCATTCTATAGAATGCATCTTATTCTAAAAATAATTTCTTGATATTTAAACATCTTGCACCTATTATCCCAATGGTGCATTTCAACAAAAACTGTTATTAGGCTTGCTGCATGAAAGTAAAACAAGAGCCTGCATAATTTAGTAATTAACCAATATACATGACAAAGTTAGTCGTGGAAAGAGACCAGGGATTTATGTAAGTTCACATCAAGTCAAAATCCAACATATCAGCCTAATAGGTATTAATGCAATTTTCATGTAATTCTGCTGTTTTTAATGCTTCTGAGAAATGACCCTTTTCCAAATGTTTATACTTAACAGCAACAGGTGTCAGGTGGCAACTGTAAAATGTTGCCCAATACTTCACTTCAGTTTTTCTGGTCCTTAAGGGTCATTGATTGCAACATAAGTGTTGAAAATTGGTTTCTGTTCAAGCCGTTACAAGGGGGCATGAGAGATATTACACCTCTTTATTATTTCTCAGTCTGCAATTTTTATGTAATAAATCCTGTTTTTTTTAATGCTTCTGAGAGATCACCAATTTCCCAGACTTTTTCAAAAAGTGACCTCAATGATAATCCAAAAGACATAACTTGTAAGATTCATGTGAATACCTACAATAATTTGAACATTGATGTTCTATGCAAAATTTAACATAAAAGTTCACAAAAGCTGTCAAAATTCATGATAGCTATGGGCCTTAGATGAGAAACCCCTGATAATGCACCAGTGCAAACAGGAAATGATACAGTTTGATATGCAAGAAAAATTCATGTTTGGCCTTGGATGGTCACCTGTAATTATGGTCTCTATACTAAGTTTCAAGATAAACTTTCTAGCTTCTACACTTAAAAGGCTGCTGTCACACTAAAAACTTTAAAATGACAAGAAAGTTAACATACATGTAATCTACACAAAATATAAAAAATTAATATTAATTTGTTAAATAAATAATAGATTCTTCATTTATACATTTGTATACACTTTCACACCCTATATAAAATTTTGTCAGTTACAAAGTAAGAGAACGTTAAAAATCATGCTTTATAAAAAGAAATCTGAAGAGAAATATTTAGTTTATAGTTTATACAAATTTATTTTAGCTTGATTGTGATGGAAGCAATAAGGTTATAAAATATTGAAACATTCTTGAATCCATTTATGGAAAGAACCAGTACGAAGCAACTTGTGTAAAGTCTAAGTCAATTTTACATGTTTATAGTTGGTGCTACATACAGAGCTCCAGATAATTTTTTTGGCCAAGGGGTTTTTACCCCTCAAAATTTAGAGTGAGGGGTAAAATGTAAAATTTGAAAAACTTAAGGGGTAAAATCTGTCAAAAAAGCATTTTGCATTTTTTATAAACAAATTAAACTTATTGTTTTTGTTTATTTGTTTGTTTATTTTCTTTTTTTAGAAAAACCTTTAAAAATAAAATACTGATTCAATGTGAAGCAATACAAAACGTGCCCTGTAAAGTCAGACTTCCAAAGTATACTGGAACTCAAGTTTAGGATAAACAGCAAAATTATCAGGGCTTCCATTTTCAAAATTTGGAAGTCAAAGACTTCAAAATCTCTGATATTGGAAGTCACATTATATTGGTAAAGAAGGAAAAGTATTAGATTTTCGGAAGTCACATGCCAAAATGAAGGAGTAAATGACTCCCAAACTTCCACTATTGGAAGCCCTGAAATAAATATATTTTCTAGGAGTCAATATTTTTCTTTCTTTATTTCTGTTGGCATGTAGCTTATCATATGCTCCAGTTTGAACAATTATAGTTGAAATTAGAATTAAAGAAAATAAAAACAAGATTTTTTATCGCTATATGGACAAGCTTTCCTTATAAAAAGTATTGGTCTCACTCTGAGAGAAAATTGTCCATAACTGTAGACTGGGTACGAAAATATTGAGTACAAAACTGCAGGTGAAAAACATATTATTTTGTTTCAACAACAAAAGTGAAAGAAATTAAAATATATTTTTGTTTTTATTGAGACATATAAGCATGTCAATAGATGCCTAAACAAACTTAATACTGTTAACTCCTACGATGATTATCTGGCAAAAATTTATATCAACAATTTCACAGGTTGATCTACGGGAGTTACCTCCCTTCTGTACTTCCTGCTACTTTCGTTTTAAACATGCGTTTTTGACAACAGAACTTTTAGTTTTAATGCAATAAAATGGAAATATATTGTATTTTTATGCTCAAAACATCCTCTATCTGAATATCAAATGTTTACACTTCTATTTTTTTACGCTTAAATTTTGACATACAAGCGTATTTTCATTTTGTTGTGCGTAACTTTGACGCACGAATTTTGAAAGTGATGCGTATTTTAGATTTTCCATGCGTATTTTACGCTTATACGCACGCTATCTGGAGCTCTGTACATATCCAAAAAAGCACATGTTCTGAATTTACAATGATATAGACAATAACCTGTTGCAGTACTAGGTATCAAAAGAGAATATAAAATAAAATCCATTAATAAATAAATAAATTGCTTATTCAGCATTTTTTACATATTGACCAATTAAACCATCAAAAATCAGCACATAATCATGATAAATAAGCAAAAAAGATAATATTGTCAGTATGTTACAACAATGTAAAATTTGGCAGAGTAAGTAATAAAAAAGGATAATGAAAAAAGGCTACATCAAACAAATCTGATTGAAAAACAGATATATGTATTGTGGCATATATATTATCAATTAAATTGACAACAATGTCAAAGTTAATACAACAAATATTTTCTCTTTTTACCCAAAAAGCGATTTGGATAGAGTAACATCAAACATTTAAACACATCTCAGTCTCTAACTCTAAAGCTGAGAATGTGTATACAGGCCCGTCGTCACGATTTTATGATTGGTGCGGCTAATTTGGTAGGTTTAAGCCAGAACTAGGGGGGTACGGGGGCATGCTCCCCCGGAAATTTTTTTATTCTAGGATGCTCTCAGGGGCGTTTTCCCGTATATTTGGCACAGTTTACAGCCTGTCGCTAGTACATGTTATAGTAATATGTCAACGATTTTTTACAGATTTTAGTGTGTCGTAAGTTTTTAGGGTGAAATTTAAGGTTTGCATAATGGACGGACAGGTGTACATAAAAAATTGAATACACGTAATTTGGCAAATGAAAAATAAACAATAACTGATGTTTTTATATTCTTTAGATGCATTTTTATCTGAAAATTATAAATAAACAAATACAATAAGTATTACAGTACGTGGATTATTGTTTAACATAAATCTCACAATGGTATAAGCTTAAATAACAATCGATGCCATGATGGAAGAATTGTACATTGCGAGTCAACAATAATTGCTTTTTGCACATCGCCGTCGTTCTCTGGTGGTAATGAACTGATCGGCAATTACACGTAAGTTTAGTGAATCTGTCCTGTATTTATGAATATGTAACACCATTACTTAGATTGTTCAAACGTACTTAAGACATTGTCGATCTCAGTTATGTTTTTATTCTTCTGAGCGCCGAGAAAGTCCTTTCACTGGTAACATTAGTAGCAGGCATTAATAACAAAATATTTAACAACAAAACGACCTCAGAGAACAGTGCTCGTTCTAGCACCGACTGTTTTGACACAAATTTCAAAGCGTCAGGTAGAGTAACAGTACTATTTTCTGATTTGTCAAAATGTGAACGTAGCAGCTGAAGCTGAATATTGCAAATCTCATGAAGTTTTTTTGTTTTCCTTTTTGTGTTTTTTATATCATAATTTATATATATAACATTGATGAAAAAATGTACTAACCAGCTAGAAACGAAAATGATTTTGGTTGATTTGGTTCTGAAAGAATTTTGTAACACATCATGGTATTTTACTATCTTAAACTATTCATATTAAGATACTTGTATCTGAACAGAAGTAATTAATTTAAAGAATTGTGATGTTATATTGTGAATAAACACACAAACATTTATATATATATATATATTCATGAAGGTATATATATATATACGGTGACACGTCGATGTCAATTAACTTCACACTTAACTTCGTAGGACCCCTACATATACCTGGTCAATAAACAGTGTCCACTTGTTTCTTCTTCGCGTCATGTTTGTATATTACTGCGCATTGCATTAGGGGCCAGTTAAGTGTCAAATTGCTAATCAGCAATGCGTGTTTTTTTTTTGTTAACCATTTTTGGCCAAAATATTGGTCCGGCCTTGGCCGGACCGGCCGGACCATCGACGACGGCCTTGGTATAAATTATTGAATTTGTAATATAAGTTACTAAGTAAGCGAACGACATGTTACTGGCTAATACATCATTAATCAGTGGCTGTCAGCTACCTATTTCTTTTTCTGTTACTTCCTGAATACATATTTGATGCAAATCAGACACTACAGCAGTTGCTTGCTCTTTCTTTGAGACATCTCCAACCAAACTTTCGTGCAAAATTCTTAAATTTTCTTCCAGCAAACTTGCCGCCATAGTCACGTGACTTAGCAGACTAAGTCTGATCTAAAAACGCTTGCATCTCCCTATTACATCCTTGTAATTAAAATTTGCTAAGCGCCTACATAATCATGATATATTTTCGGATCTTTCGGATGTATAGCACAATGTTTGACAGTGAAAGATATTGCGAAAACGGCGGGCGATCGCAATGTAAACAAATTATTTCCTCCAAACAAAATGTCAACAAGACCAAAGTTTCGCATACCAACAACAAATGAAGTGAATAAAGATCCCCAAAACGAGGTATTCTTTTATTGTAATGAATTGCCAGTGGTCTATTGGGTACTGGTTGGTACTGGTTGGGGACCACCAAAACCGGACAACCACCAAGCCCGGACGGAATTTGGAGGTTACGTACCATGGAGGTTACGTACCACTGCATAAATGTACCATTTTTGGAGGTTACGTACCACTATAGAAATATATAATAAAGTGATAATAATGGATAAGGTGTGAAACTATCAGGTTTATTGTTCAAATTCGCGCATTAATTGTATTAAATTTGTAATGAGATTAAATATGTATGAATATAAAAGAATAAAGAACAAACCAATTAACGATAATAAACAAGTTTTATTTACAACACAAAACTGAAACGAACAAACGATGACAAGTTTACATTTACAAGTTTTATTTACACGTTAACCGAACTGTGCATAAAATTAAAATAACAATAATTATGTTACAATTAACATAAAAAAAATACTTTTTGAGTTTTATTTATCCGCACTGAATAATAATAAAAATCCCCCGGACGGCCCGAAAATGCTTAATTTAGATTTTTTCTTTGTTCAGTGGTTGTCGATTTATCAGTCACTTTTTATCAACAATAAATGCATGTTTCTTCTATGATAAATTCATTTCAACTTCCGTAAACGGTAATATTGTAATGTCTATTTCAACAATGTTGATGTTGAAAATTTGGGCATCAAGAGTGCTGTACCTGACCTCATTTACAGCTATAATCATTTGCAGAGTAAACAATAGAATATCCAAAACTTCAGCATTTGCTCCTGAAATGTTTTTTATCATGTTAAAAATATGCATATTATTAAAAGAGAATGCATCATGACTTTTATGTAATAAACAACAGCAATCTGTTTTTAGTCTTTATAATATTCACCACTCTATAGATATAAAACTTTGATTTAAACGTTTCTATTATAACAAAATATTGATGATAAAAACACATTATATATATAAACAATTGTCTACACTGCCTTTAATTACTATATAACATAAGGTCGGCGAAACCACTTTAGCACCTCCTCATAAATCAAGTTGGCCGAACCTGTAGTTCGACGAAACCACCATAATTCCTGTCCGGACACATGGTACTGTATGTGGTGTAGACAATTTAGGCAATTATACCCTCCTTGTGGAGCCTCAGATATAAGTGTCAATACATTCAGAAATAAACAAACTAGTTTGTTAGTTAGGAGAATAACCTAGCTGAACTGTATCAAATTTTTAGGTCTCTTTAAGGTTTGAAATTATGAAATCTGTACGGAAAAATGTTCAAAAAGTGTCCGGTTGATGGTGCCTGACCAGTAGTGCTTGTGTCTAATCTTAATGACAGGGATTCACAGTTCCAGTGGTTAACCTTTTTGTTTTCAACATTCAACTTAATCTAATAGCAATGGCGTCACACTTGACTTTTTTGTCCTGACTTGCAAGTTACAGAACTGATAACAATTTTCTGAGCAATCGCCCTGTCCTGTGTTGAGTGAATAGTTAATATGTGGAAAAAAGTGATCCCTCTGACAGAGGCATTATTTAAATCACATGATGATGAAATTGATTTATTCTGTACAAAAGGGATAATGAAAAATGCAAAATCCCTCATGCCCCCTAGCATTAGCTTGAGCAGTACTCAATTTTAAACAAATAAAAGTGCTGGAATCAATGATCCCAAAAGAAAAATAATTTCAAATTAGGCAAAGCTTATGAACGGGGAAGTCTGCTAAAAAAATAATTAATTTTTCTGTTTTAAAGGTGTCATTTGATATTTCATGTACCACTTCTGTTTCCACTCGGAACACTCGACAATTATTAATAATACGAAAAGTTGCTATTGTTTCATTATCGGAATAACCTGCCTATTAATATCATCATTGAGTTACGTTGAAAATGGCAGCGCAGAACTAGACCTGACACTGGAAATTTCATTGATAGGTACAGAATTCTATATATTCTTTAATTGTTTTTTATTCGATTTCCTTTTTGATTTTGCTTTGCGGTCCCGGCCTTTGACTTTTCCATATAACATCACTGAAGTGATGTACAGGGCAACATATTGTAAACCTTTATGGCAAATGGGTTACAGACAAGAATGGTTGCCAAACACTTTCTTGTTTTTTGTTGTTGTTTTTTTCCCTCGTCTATTTCTCAGTGCCTGTTGTCTTTAATAGTTTACACACATGTAACCTCTTTCTTTATCTGAGTATGCATAATCCAAACTATAAAAATATATAGCAGATTAGGTTTTGATAATAGGTATAATTATATAATAAACATTCTGGTTTTAATGTTTCAGTGTAAGCAGTACTCACTGTTCAAGAGTTACCAGCAGAATAAAGGGAAGAGTGAAAGTAATTCTGATAGTTCAACATCGGCTTCAAAAATTTCTTCATCATCTACATCAGCTAAATCAACCTTAGCTGCTTCAGACATACCGGGTAAGTAAGTTTCATAACTGAATCATTGTAAATTTAGATAGTTAAATATGTAGCTTATAATTAATCTTCATGGAATAAGGACTTTGGATGTTGATGTATTGTTGTCTGTTTCTGGGATGTTTAGATCTTCGGCATCTTTGTCATGACTTCCTATCTTGTATATCATAGTTTACTTTCATCAAATGATAACTGATTATATATGTAATAATTAAATCTTCTTTTACTAATGGATGATTTGACACTGTAGAATTGGTAGAAAGATTAAGACTATGATACCATTTACCTTACAGGTAAAGGTAAAAATGCAACTGGAAGTAAAGAATCTTTTTCATCATCTAATTCAACATCTATATCAACGGCAATAGGAGTAAATTCTTTTAAATCATCAAGTTCATCATCTACAAATTCATCATCATCTGAACAGACTAACCATCCAGTAACTGTGTCTACAGAAAATATTTCATCATCATCTGCTGGGTGAGACATGATTTATTTAATGTACAATTATTTGTTACAATTTCTTATTTGTCTTGCCAAAAGAAAATGTGTTTAATTACTCATGTATAAGATTTAAAACCATGTTTCTTTAAATGACACTATACATTGTAAATAGGTGAAACAGAATAAAGCATGATGAGTATAAGTTTTAAGAACTTCCTCAAACAAGCCTACATGAGTATAATTGAATTGAAACAATTAGAATTTGAAACTAATGTGAATTTTAGTTTTGTATATAATCTGTAGGTTGTTCATGTTGTTGAAGATGAAAAACAAAAGGACATTGTGAAAGCTATCCAGCTATCTTACAGAACATCAGTGGTTCTACTAAGGTGCTGTTTCTGCCTAGAATAATGTACAGATGGGCACCTGATGCCCTCCATCACCAGTAGAGCTGCAAAGTCGCCATATGACCTGTTGGTTTGACGTAAAACCCAATCAAAAAAGAATAATTATTATTGCTAAAAATATGTTAAATCATTTTTTTTAGCTCAGGAAGCACTTCCACATCATCAAAGGCAGCATCATCTAACAGCATCATTGTCAATTATAGACAGGTAAGAGGATTATTATATTAATTGTTAAAATTTAATTGATGGTCAGCTTTTCATTAACAAATGCAACTAGAAGATCTTATAATGCTGAACAAAGCATTGTCACAATGTACAATCAAATTCATAACAACATAAAATGATACAAAGTCAAAATCATGATATTCATTTATTTGTTTAGATGGTTTAAAAACCTTTAGAATAAAACATTGTATAAGTTATCTAGAAACTAGCTTACTTAAAAAAGGGTATACTTATGATTTATGTTTTTGTCTTGTAAGAGAATTTTTACATTTTATTACAAATTTCAGAGAGGTAATCCTATCTTGAAACATATAAGAAATGTTCCTTGGCAATATGGTAGTATTGTACCAGATTATGTAATGGGAGTAGCAAATTGTGCATTATTTCTCAGGTATGATTCTTTCAAGTTTAATAATAAAGTTTATATTTTACTTCACAATTTGAAGAATAGGGAGCGTTATTGTACTCACCGGGGCAACAGACACACTTCGATTAAGTCTTTGCATGCAAGTTGTCATCTATAAAACTACTAAGGGAAGAAGTTGAAATTACTGTTTAGCACTGATAATAGTCAAGAGTGCTGTCTTATGTTCAGCTCTGGTTTACTTTCTTATTTACCAATTATATGAAATGTTTTATAATTTATAATAGCTACATATGAATGTTTTTAAACCTCACTCCCTTCTTGATACTTTAGATATTTCAATGTATTTTGAAATTTTCGCTGAAAGTAATTGTCCAGAAAGATAAATAAGTTCATTTAAGATATTAAGCAATATAAGGGTTAATAAGAACAATCAAAATGTTACATATTTTCAGCTTACGTTATCACCAACTTCATCCAGAATATCTCCACAACAGATTGAAGGAGCTTGGAAAAGGATACGATCTCAGGGTTCTGCTTGTACAAGTAGATGTGGTGAGTTAACTTTATTTAAGGTAGCCTTTAATTAAGATTTTATGTTAAATGTTAATTATGGTTCTTAGGTTTGTATATTACTTGTATTGACTTTTTTAATGATATTAAATTAAATTTATGTGCTAACTATATTGTTGAAGTGTTCTTGGTGCAGAATTACATACAGTTTAGTTAAATAGCATCTTTTTGTGTATTTTAGTGCTATTAAAACTACACAGACCTATGTACAAATTTTAGTAATTGATACAAATCTCTTAAAATTTTCTTTTTCTTTCTTCTCTATTTGGCATTCAAAAATGTTTTGTTTGTTTCACATAAACATAAAATTCAAGTATTTCTTGTGTTAGTTAATGTTGTATAAATAGTATGCTAATTAGTGATCATAATATAGATGGGAATTGAAATATTGTATTACTAAACAGTTCTTGTCACTCATTGTGGTGACATCTAGACTGTGTCCTGAAATGTGGACCGCCATGGTTGCGAGGTTAAGGTTGCTCTTCATGGGTGTAGGTTTGAATCCTGTTAGGGGCCATTCATTCTTTCATGCGACAAAGCTATTCACCTAGATTAAGGAAGGTCAGTGGCTCAGATCAAATACCTGTTTATGACTGAAATAAGTACAGAGAGCACTTGAGGTATTCTTCAACTAGTAATGCTTGACCTTCACTACAGTGACTTAAAGTTTAACAAACAAATATCATGAAATCAATCTTCCTGAAATATTTAGATTCAAGGTAAGCAGGGTCTAGTATGCCACCTATAAATTACATACAGTATTTTTTATTGTAGAAAGATCCACATCATCAACTCAAAGATCTAGCAAAAATATGTATATTGGCAGATCTGACACTGATATTAGCATTCAGGTAACTTCTGACAGTAATTTGTTTAGCTAATTTATCCGATGACATTTCATTAAAATATTTGTTTGACAGTACATACATTAATTATGATACATACACTTACAGGAAAAACATAAATTTGTCTTTCATATATATAATGATTTTTCATTTATTGACATACTGAAAACTGTTGTACAAATATTACATCATAAACATGATTTTTTTTCAGTGCTGAAGAAGCAGGTCGGTATTTGGAAGCATATAAAGTATACGAGAACAAGCCTGCTGAAGTTCTTATGGAGAAAACAGAGACAGATTATGTTTCCAAGGTAACATAAATAATACAGCTTTTACTTAAGATGTCGCTGTTTTGATGTACGGTATCTGTAGAAAAATAAATCAACATTTATGAAATGTAAAAGCCATGTTTATATAACCAGATAGTTTAAATGTTTATCTTGTTGTATTATTTACAGCTAACAGAATGTCTCACCACAGTAAAATCAGTAAATAAAACAGATAGTATGACTTTACTCTCTGCATTCAAGGTTTGTCTTCCTTTGATTTAGTATACACTTCTATGTTTGAAGAAATTTATTTTGAGTAAATTTCATTCATTGAAACTATAAAAGGGTTTTTACATAAAAAGAAATAATTGATTCATACATTTACTGAGTTCAGTTATAATGATCTTTTATAAAATAAAATCCTCATTTTTGTTTTAAAAAAAGAACTTAAATATTTGTGTATTTAAAAATAATTGCATGTTCTTTATTCTAAAGTTATGATATTAATCTCACATAATTAAGTTATATGTGTTGTTGCAGTCAATGGATGGTATAATTAATGCAAGTAAAGAGGATATATCATTTTGTGCTGGATTTGGCCCACAGAAGGTATGATAATTATACATTTATTGTCACCTTTTATATGAAAATAGATCATTCTTAAAATGTTTATCTGGTTTCTTTTATGTGAGGAAACTATCCAGGTAGCTTACGGATGTCGTTGGTTCTGCTAGGGTGCCTGTTCTTGCCTGAAATAATGCACAGAAGGGCACATGAGGTCTTCCTCATCATCAAGATATGACGTCGCCATATGACCTTTACTGTGTCAGTGTGATGTGAAATCAAATCAAACAAACAAACAATCTGGCTACTAACAACAGTTTACTTCATGTTTATAGAGATAGAGATTCATTTGTTGGAACATTTAAGTCTAACCTTTAACCTGCTTGGACTTGTCAGATTTCTTTTTTTTGTCCATTATCATTTTTGGTGTTATATCAAGATGATCAGCCAACAGTATAGAGCCTGGCACAGAATCAGCAGACAGGCCTGGCTTTATACTGGTGGCAAAGGCTTTTCATTTTTGGTTGCAGCAAGTTACAAAGAAATTCTCTAAGCTCAAACTCAGATCTTACTATTTGATTGATCAGAAACTGTCACAGAATGTACATGTACTCTGAGCAATTATAATCTTGAGATTTGAGACAGAACTCAGAAAAAAAGTTTTATAACCTTGAGGCCAGATTAAGGGTTAACTGTTCCATGCTAGGGTGCTGTTTTGTTAAGTTTTGCATGCGTCGTCAATCTTCAAAACTACTGAGTCTGGGTAATACATGCGTTTGGGATCACAATTGTAAACCACTGTCCAAGACCCATAAATCTGGCATGGAATTGATCTAATTCGTGGCCATTTGTGAACTTAAAAAATTACAGATTTTGTACTGAAGCTACTCACTCTATGTCTCAGATTATAATTGAGGGACATTTTCCTTTCCAAGACAAATAACTCTTGCATTGATTTAGATTAAACATGGTCCTTTATGAACTGAAAAAAATACCTTGGTGATTCTCATATGTCAATGAAATCTTCATTTATTGATTTCTAAATTATCCTGGGTCTTGTATTACTATCAAGCACTCAGAAAAATTGGAGGGGCTGTTCTTCTGTCAGATCTTGTTTTTTATATTTCAGGCACAGCGGTTATTTGATGTTTTTCATGAGCCATTTGTAAAAGGTAGAAAAAGACTTAAAGAAACAAGTGCAGGTCATTATTTATTCCGTTCTTATTGTTTCACCTGTCTCTCTTTTTATGTAAGATAGTATTATTGAGCACATTACCTTGATAGCTGAATTTATTTTAAATTTTGTTTGGAAAATAGTAGCACTAGACAGTAGTTGTCATTTAAATGTCAATCTTATTTAATAATTCTGTTCAACATGATTGTTCTAAACGTGTATTTCAATAAACACTGTGCATTTCGCAAAAGAGACTGTGTATCTAATATACTTTAAGTTAAGAATAGACAAATTGTCATAAATTGTAAAGGTTCACATATTTACTTTATAGATTCCAGTCCTACAAAGAAACCTAGCTGAATGGTGAAGAATAACAAAGTGATAAATTATTAAAAGACATGTGTCTCAGTGTCATGCTGATCAAAATGGAAACCTATTGTTGTACCCACGAAGTGGTTATGTGTAAATCAACAATATGGTTATTTTTGAACTTTGTGTGACTTAAGTTTAACAGAAAAGGAACCAAACATTTGTAAGCAATGGCTGAAAAAATATTGATAGAAATGATAATGCATGTCTACAAGTGAAATGCAAGGGAAACATTTTACTGATTATATTATTATATATCTTATTCACTATACAAATGTGATTATAGTTTTCATGAATTCTACTGGGAGAACTTCATACAAAGATGTTTTACTTAAAATTATTATTACATTTGTTTGAGATACGAGTACCTACATTTAGGAAGTCATGTTGAATGAAATATTGCCAATTACATGTATATCGTCTTTCCTAATTTATATAAGAATGTCTTTTTTTCATTTGCCAAAACAATTTATAAATTGAGACATTGTACACACCAGTCTGAGTTTGCTGCATTGAAGTGAGCAATTTCTACTTGAGAGGGATGTAAACACATCTGGAATAATCTATACATAGAAATTTGGTTGTTTGTTTAATTGAGTGGCATTCCCGCAGACATTTACGTTATATATTGTTATATATTTCAGACTGCTTATGTGACAGCATCCATTACACTAGATCTAGCATTAAGGCTTTATATAAATACTAGCACAATAAACAGTCAGAGAAAATGAGCCCCAGTTGTAATGTTACATCATGACAAAATTTTATCTTCCAAATAGTCTACATAAAATGGCAGATCTTAAAATATCCTTTATAGACACAGATCACAGATATATATCATATTATATTGTGACCAAGATTTTGTTTAGTAGTACTCATCTTTGTATGAATTAAAACGGTTATATGAATGAATGCAAAAATACAAGTCTTGTTTGATTATTAAAATAGTTTAACACCAGTCATATACGGTTCATTATCTTTTTCATTTACATGCAATACCTGAATTCTCCGTGACAAAAATTACGACATTTTTTCCCATAAAAAAGATATTAATTTTTCGTAAATTGTTTCAAATTATTCATTTATTCAGTAATTAACTGATGTAAGAGTAAAAAGACTACAGACATGTGTTAAATACATGATATATGCTATAAAATGTAATGATTTGAAAGATATTCTGTCGAGAGATTTATTCTGAGAGACAGAGATTTGAATGTTTTAAGCTTGCTTGTTCAAATTTTGCAACCTAACATATGCACATCTAAACATCAGACAGTACCAAGTTGAAACACTAAGGTTATTGCAGAGGGCAGCAAGAAACCACAGATTTAGTCATCGTTAAACTCTTTTTTTCCTTGATGTAGATTCAGTGTAAAAAAAAGATTTCGCGGTGACCAGCATTTACATTGTATTTCCGCTAGCACTGACATCTACACGCACAATTACTACACCAACTAGTACAAGCTCCCCACGTTCAGCAAGTGTAATGAATACCTGTAGTTGCTACTTTACGTCGTAGCTTTTGTACTGTTTATCCAAATTCCATATACCATTATAATTCTGAATTTTTTCCCTATCTATAAGAGTTGCTAGCATATTTAGAAAGCTACATTTACATTTGCTCAGTTTAAGCTTGGCGCCCGCGATAACTTATAACTTCGCCATATTTTACTGTTAAGTAATTAAGATTGTTTCGTGTCACAAAGTAAAATCAAAGCACAGAAGGCACTGAATTTGTTTGGGTCTCAGAATGTCAGAAAGGTGAAGGTTGTGAGATTAAAAACCAATTTGTTTGTAATGTGTCACCAAAATGTTTCCAGTGTTATAACTATAGTAAATTGGCTATAGGACTAATTGCAACACTAATAATTAATTCAATGTTTATTTGGCTTAATCAATAAAAAAAACGAAAAAAACATGAGTTGCCTGAATTGAGATTTGAATTCCGGACCTCTCGCTTCTAAAGCGAGCGTGTAAACCCTTCGACCACGGGAAGTTGTAAGGTAACAGCCTGAAGAATACCATATTATTCTTAATTAGAGTTTGTAACCCTTATTAATTTCGATATATCTTGTTCACGGTAAATCTGTTGTTTAACACTGAAATAAATAATCAAGGCGCTGAATATAAGCATGTATATCTATAAGAATAACACAATATTAGAAATCTTCGACCAATTGGGAACTATTTTCTCGTTACGAAAATTAATGCGCCTGTCATTTGACAATCTTTACGCAGTGATCTCCCCTTAATTTTTCGGCGTTAATGTACATATTAAGGGAAGTAACCGCTTCGAGGAGTTTTGACTACTTTCGGCATTTGCAAATAAGAACATCAGGGTCTAAAATTTCGCTACCATTATTTGTTTGGTCTGATGACCCAGTTGGGTCTTCCACTTCTATTTCTTTTATAAGTGTCAGGCATACGTATTCCAATAAAATTGAATTCTTAGATTCTTACCTATTCTGATCTCAACAAAATACATGTATGTACATGTAAACGTATTAAGACAATTTTTCATATGTTTTCTTGCATATAAGACAGACTGGCTTGAAAATTGTTCTGAGAATCCTCAACATTATCAGCTCCAAGATTTCATTATGTATAAGATTGATTAAGAGAAGTTTCTATTTCGTATTTTTTTTGTAAGAAGAGAAAAGAGGATAAAACGCTCATTGAGCTCAGAAAATGTTTGTTGGCGTAATAACATGACGTAATTAGCTTGAAGTTTGAAAAATATGTAGATATACCTTGTTACATCAGAATTTAAAAAGATAGGTTGATGTTTAAAGCGAAATATAGTGTAGCATTTTTAAAAGGTAAACAAACTTCTATGGAACGTTTAGTTAATTTAACAACGTTCTGGAACGATTCATGTTTATTCAGTGTAGGCTTTTTGTCCCCAAAATATAAATAGGTAGCGTCTCAAACTGAATGAGAGATTTTCATAGACAAGGACGAAATCGTAACGAATGATTTTTTATTTTCATAAATCTGTGTATTTGTGAGGTTTAAAGAATCATTTTCACGCTCCATAGCTAGATTTACTTTAGCTTTCTTAACACTAGTTTATGTAAGACGAAAATAGATAAATCAACGAAATGTGTCTAGTAGCACGCTCACTTGGCACATTAAATGTAGCATTTACTGGTTTTCTTAATAAAATATTGCTAGTGGCTATCTAAGGATAAGACATTGTAAAAAGATATCTGGTAAGTATTTAGAATTATGGCTGCTGATACGATGAGGTGTCTAATACCATTTATAGATGATGCTATTGTTCAGTGTATTGATTGAGGGACTCTGGCTGTACTAGATTTATAATGATTTATAAGAAATTACCATTACAAAATAGAGCTCCAGGAAAGAACGGTCTAAGAGATGATATATTAAAGAAGATACATTAATTAGAAGATACATTAGAAGATACATTAGAAATAAAAATGCATGTCTTTGACCGTTAAAAGATAAATAGAAAAGCACAATTTGGCTCGATATAAAACGAGGCCGGTATTAATGAATGCAACTACATGTATATAGTTGGAAATTTGATAACGTGTCTCAAGAAGCTGTACAGTATCTCTTCGTGATTCATTTTGATCTGCGTATGATTTCAAAGGGCAAATAAGCTATATTTTAAGACAAAATATTTTCATCAAATTTATGATCGGTAAAGTTATGGTATTTCCATAATCTTGTGGTATTTTTTTCAAGGGTTGTAAAACATTTATGTCTCTGTTCTTTAACAGACATGAATATTGTTACAGTACTTATATAGAATAAAATCTTCCGGAACAAAATGTTATGCTGCTATTTTAAGTAATGGTTTAACAGTTTATATGCGTAAATTGTTCTTTAGTTAAAATGCAAACATACTCCTTTTATGCATGTATCTTTGTGTTATGTCTATTAAAAATTCTAACAATATTTTTTGTAACTACAGGCAACAGACTGATATAAAGCTGTATTCAGTTTAAATTCTATAAAATAATTATAAAAACACGTTATGCTTAATGGACATGGTTTGCTTCTTGCATATACTTTTGCTACCAATTAACAGAGCATGCAACATTTTTAGTTTTGGTCTGTTGTCTGTTTTTGAAGGTTTCCACTTTATGATTATTTTATTGTTAATATAGTTCATTGTGAAAGGACGAAACTGATGATCCTAGATTGTTTTCACTAATAGACAAATCAATTTCTATAGAACAGATAAAATCCACGAAACAGATTATTCTCATTCTAATGAAACATTATATTGAACACTGCTTTGAATCTAATGAGCCTTACAGTCTGCCTCAGAGAAAATATTATATGAGTCAAACTCGAAATAATAACATAGATAAGATTGCAGACTTTTTTAACAAGATAATTTCACAATTTTTAACATTAGCTTATTCAAGATTTTTGTCGATGGAATTTTCGTTTGGAATACTTCCTCATTATAAATAAAAATGCTGCCAATAAGTCTGATGCACGAAATAAAGGAAGACATTATTTAATTTTGCATCACGAATTTTTCAATAATAAGACACAATATTGCACTTTGAAATGAATCATTTTGACGCGATCGAGGTAGCTAAGTTCTCATAAATTATAAAACAGACGGTTGAAACGTGTCACTTAGATAATTTTTCATTATACACTTGTCCTCTTTTATTCGATATTTGTGGAGGTGGTTACAATTACATTCAAGTTGCACAGTACTAAATCCATGATTGTTTTGTACCTGACTAACAATATAAATTCTTGAATTCTAAATCGTGTAGCAATTTGTTAAAAACTTCAGGATATTTATCTCTATCTGTGCAATAATCGGTCTATACACAAATGAAATATAAGCTGTTTGTTTGGAATTATTTATTTGTAATATCTTAAAGGTTTATAGTAAGTTATTTTTACCTCATCACAGCATACCGTGCCAAAAGGTGAGCTATTGAGTCATTGGCCTATGACTTTCATCCTGTCTTTAATTGCTAGTTAAACAGGGTTTCCGTCGGTCCATACGACTTCTCGTATACCAGTAGGTCTATATCACCTAAACTACTTGTGGTTATTTCATTCGGTGACCCTCATCCAATGTCGTTCAAGAAAAAGTTACATTCTGTGCTGTAGATGGCATAGTATCCCAAGTGAAATATTAAAACTCTTCTTGTCACAAACTGTTGGTCAGATTTGATATTACTTCAAAAAAATGGCCATCTAGTGGTCATATACAAGTGGTCTGTTGTCCGTATAATACCTTGAGAAATTTTGATAATATTTTATAGAAATGAGCATTTGGTGATATTGAGATGACATGGTCGCTAAGGAATGGTGTCACGTTCTTATGCTTTTATACAAACATGAACATGGTCAAATGTTCCCTAAAGAGAAAATTATTATAAGTCATGTGAAAACTCTGGCACTCAAAGATTTAAGAAATATCAAATACTGCGTCTAACTGACTAACCTTATTTCAAGTAAAATATTAGATATACTTCTGCTGGTAAGAAAACCCTGTAAATCATGTTTTCAATTCTTCCCGGTCGTTACAAGATATAATTTAGCTTCGGTACGACTCTTAAATCAAACCATTAAAATACATCCAAAATGATAAGTCCAAAATTTCTTTTAGTGTTTAAATAACAGTAATCAGATGATTATGTTTGCACGTTGAGGAATGGCACATGATTAGATACTGTTTGCATAAAAGATACTGAATGAAAATGTTGCTCTTATTTCTCCCTGTTATTGCTGAAATGCAGTCTTCTACTCGGTTGTTGCTATCCAAAAGTTAAAGTGCCAGGATTCTATCACATAATCATAGATCATATATATCTGATTTGCTAAATATTGTATATCGCGACACCTTAATATACAACCATGTCTTTCTCAAAAGGTATTCATATTAAAGTGATAAATAATTTTATGCCAGTTGAACTGGCAAAAATATACTATGCAAACATTTGCAGTTAGTATG